TTATTTGAAGAGATATTTGGTTGCAGCAGGAGTTTTTTGAAAAGGTGAATCAAAAAGACAAGGCTAAGGGGTGAAAAATTCACCCCGGGTATTTCTGACCTGGTGGGCCCCACCTCATTAAATGCATGGCAGGTTTATTAAAAAAAATTAAATAGAAGCCGCCCAATTAGAAACGGGCACGTGGACGCGTGCATGGAGGCTGCAGGCGCATGCCTGCCAGCTGCCGCGTGGCGAAATCTGATTGGGCGGCAATTTTTGTTTTCCTCCTTATTTTTAATTGATATTTTTTGAGAAAAATACAATGAATTAAATGAATTAATTTATAATTTTTATACCATTAATTTTTATTTTTCAAACTCTATAAATAGAGACTAACTTTGTGTCATTTGGACACAAAAAAAAATCTGAGTTTCTACACCCTATTCTTCTTCTTTCTACAATTTGAAGCTAGTTTCTTCATGGATCCTTCACAAAACTATCCTAATTTTTCCTACAACTACAACTTTCCTAACCAACCTCAAAATACCCTCCCTCAACCACAACATCCAAATATACAACGCCCCGAAAATACTCAAAATACGGGGATGCAGCCCAATTTTCAAATGCCGTACATGATGCAACCAAATTTCGGCATGCAATATCCTTATCTTCCTTACGGTTATCCTCCAGTTCCAGGAAGCAGCTATGTTCCCTCCCATATGAATTGTCTTAACACGGAGTCGAGTGAGCCAGCGACACCCCGGTTTAGTAGCGGATCTACAGATATCCCAGAATTTTCCACCCAAATGTCTTTGGGAAATGTTGGTGGGGATACTCCTCACAGTTTTCTCCCTCCAACCCAACAATCATCAAAGAGATCAAGTTATGAAACTTAGACCACCGAAGACAACATACTTTTACTAACTGGTTATTTTCACGTTAGTAATGATAGTGAGTTGGGGAACAACCAAAAGGGTAAAACTTTCTGGGGTAAAATTACACAGTACGTGAATGAGAACGCCAAAAGTGGAAAGGAGAGGATTGTGTCTCGGTGCCATAGTCATTTCAAAGACATCAACAGAAAGATATCCAGTTTCATTGGCTGCTACAGTACTGCATGTAGGGAGAAGCGTAGCGGTTGGTCCGATGAAAACTACATATCCAAGGCAAGAGAGTTGTACTTTGAGAAAATAGGTACGACGTTTAATTTGGTGGATGAGTGGAAGGTGGTTCGTAATCAACCCAAATATATGACAGGAGGAAATGCATCCGGTAGTAGTGGCTCTAAAAGAAAGAGTAGTGGTGAGGATGTTGAATCATCAACTCCTACCCTTGTACGTCCAGAGGGTAGGGACGTGGCAAAGAAGAAAGCTAGAGGTTCCTCTAGTAAAACATCTGTGTCAAGGAAATCAAAGGGGGCAATTGAGGAGGAGTTATCTAAGCTAGTCAGTGCTCATGAAAAATTTGAAGAGAAAAGATCAAGTACTGCTTCAGCTATGAATAACCTGGCTCATTCCAAGAATATGGAGATGTGGTTATTCTTGAAAAACAAACCAGATCGTGACGATGAAGATGAAAAAGCTTATAATATGTTGAGGAAGTACCTGTTTGGAAAATAAGACCTTCTCAAGAAGTTATGATTGTGTGTTTTCTTTCTGATGTTTTTGTGTGCCGTTTGTTTAATTTTGGAGTTGTGTGGGTGCCTATGTTTGTTGAATGTATTAATAAAAGTGTTGTTTATGTTTGAATAAAATTGTTGTTTATGTTTCAATAAAGCCGATTGATATTGACTTCTCACTGCATAATAGTACAAAAGATACAATTACTACTCACTGCAAAAACAAACAAATGTTGAATTGACCTTTCACTGCAAAAAATACAAAGGATGAAATGACTACACCTGCATAATAATACAAAATATGAATTGACAACTCTCTGCACATGCATGCCCTATGACACATGTCTCTGCAATTGCATGTGAATTCAATTATTTGAACAACTACCCTTCATTATATAAACTGATCAGATGCACATCATAAGTATACCTATCAACATTTCAAAAATCATAGCATCCAATGGATCCTTTCCTAAATGAGTTTAGTCTAGAAGAGTTCCAACAACAATGGGAAATAGAAGAAAAAATACTTGATAGGCAGCGAGAACTTCTTGAAGAATTGCAAAGGAGAAGCGAACAACCACGTAAGAGGAAATCCATACATAGAGATCATCATGCAGCGCATGAGAGACTCATGGCCGACTACTTTGCCGGGTCATGCACTTACACTAACGCCCAGTTCCGACACAGGTATCGAATGAAAGGCCTCTCTTTCTACGAATTGTGGACTCTATATCAAATTACGACGATTACTTCACACAACGGCGCAATAATGCGGGCAAGCTTGGGTTAACGCCTATCCAGAAGTGTACGGCTGCCATACGCATGCTCGCATATGGAGTCGCAGCCGATGCTTGTGATGAGTACGTCAAGATAGGAGAATCCACTGCTATCGAGTGTACTCGCAAGTTTTGCGAAGGGGTAATAGCATTGTTTCAAGATGAATACTTACGACGACCAAATGTGGAAGACTTGCAGAGGTTGCTCCAAGTTGGACAGGAACGTGGATTCCCAGGGATGATTGGAAGTATTGATTGCATGCACTGGCAGTGGAAAAATTGTCCTAAGGCTTGGCAAGGACAGTTTACTAGTGGACACAAGGGGACGGCAACAGTTATCCTCGAGGCAGTTGCGTCATATGATTTGTGGATATGGCATGCTTTTTTAGGGCTTCCTGGTAGTTTGAATGACATAAATGTACTAGATAGGTCACCGGTTTTTGACGACATTGAGTCAGGTGAAGCTCCACGGGTAAACTTCACCGTGAATGGGCGAGAGTATAATCTTGCATACTATCTTGCCGACGGAATCTACCCTAAGTGGTCTGTCTTCGTGCAGTCAATTCAAATGCCCCAAGGCATCAAACATCAATTTTTTGCCAAACAACAGGAATCATGCAGGAAGGACGTGGAACGCGCATTCGGGGTACTCCAAGCACGCTTCGCTATTGTCCGCCAACCAGCTAGAATGTGGGATCTTGATGTCTTAGGAAAAATAATGAGGACGTGAATTATTTTACATAACATGATAGTAGAGGATGAACGAGATACGTATTCGCGAAATTGGGAAAATATCGACTTTGAACCGTCGAACAATGCTAGCTCTAGCGCCTCTTTCAATGTTCAAACAGACGTGTTGCCGGAGTTTCAAGTCCATGTTCAACACCGATCTGAGGCAGATAATCAGACTAGAGCGGAACTACGAGATAAGACCCAACATATTCAGCTGAAGAAGGATCTCATCGAGCACATTTGGCAGAAGTTTGGGACAACCTCCGATTAGATTTAGCAATTTAGTGTGTGTTTTCTTTAATGTTTTCAATAATTTGGGTGTGTTTGGTTTTCCGTATGCTTAATAAAACCGTGTGTTATTTTATGTTAACATAAAAATATTATTGAAAATTAAATTAATAATATATATTTAAATATTATATATTATTTATTGAATTATTAATAAATTATAATTATAAATATATGAGTTATAATAATAATAATAATAATAATAAAATAGTAATATATATGAAATAGGAAAAAGAATGAATAAATATGGTGGGGTATATGTTGAAGTGAAGTGGTTTATGGTGGGTCCCAAATAAAGTAAAAAACTTTCTGAAAAATCTCCTGCTGTAGAGTTGATAGGAAAATAAAGATTATTGAATTAAATAAAGTGATGTGGCAGGAGAGAATGAGGTGAAATTTCACCTCTTGCTGGAGATGGTCTTAGGACAATTTTTCCACTGCCAGTGCATGCAATCAATACTTCCAATCATCCCTGGGAATCCACGTTCATGTCCAACTTGGAGCAACCTCTGCAAGTCTTCCACATTTGATCGTCGTAAGTATTCATCTTCAAACAATGCTATTACCCCTTCGCAAAACTTGCGAGTACACTCGATAGCAGTGGATTCTCCTATCTTGATGTAGTCATCACAAGCATCGGCTGCGACTCCATATGCGAGCATGCGTATGGCAGCCGTACACTTCTGGATAGGCAAGCACCGGCGCGACTCCATATGCGAGCATGCGTATGGCAGCCGTACACTTCTGGATAGGCGTTAACCCAAGCTTGCCCGCATTATTGCGCCGTTGTGTGAAGTAATCCTCGTAATTTGATATAGAGTCCATAATTCGTAGAAAGAGAGGTCTTTTCATTCGATACCTGCGTCGGAACTGGGCGTCAGTGTAAGTGCATGACTCGGCAAAGTAGTCGGCCATGAGTCTCTCATGCGCTGCATGATGATCTCTATGTATGGATTTCCTCTTACGTGGTTGTTCGCTTCTCCTTTGCAATTCTTCAAGAAGTTCTCGTTGCCTATCAAGTATTTTTTTCTTCTATTTCCCATTGTTGTTGGAACTCTTCTAGACTAAACTCATTTAGGAAAGGATCCGTTGGATGCTATGATTTTTGAAATGTTGATAGGTATACTTATGATGTGCATCTGATCAGTTTATATAATGAAGAGTAGTTGTTCAAATAATTGAATTCACATGCAATTGCAGAGACATGTGTCATAGGGCATGCAACATCAGAGACATGTGTCGTAAGGCATGCAACATCAGAGACATGTGTCATAGGGCAAGCATGTGCAGAGAGTTGTCAATTCATATTTTGTATTATTATGCAGGTGTAGTCATTTCATCCTTAGTATTTTTTTGCAGTGAAAGGTCAATTCAACATTTGTTTGTTTTTGCAGTGAGTAGTAATTGTATCTTTTGTACTATTATGCAGTGAGAAGTCATTATCAATCGGCTTTATTGAAACATAAACAACAATTTTATTCAAACATAAACAACACTTTTATTAATACATTCAACAAACATAGGCACCCACACAACTCCAAAATTAAACAAACGGCACACAAAAACATCAGAAAGAAAACACACAATCATAACTTCTTGAGAAGGTCTTATTTTCCAAACAGGTTCTTCCTCAACATATTATAAGCTTCTTCATCTTCATCGTCACGATCTGGTTTGTTTTTCAAGAATAACCACATCTCCATATTCTTGGAATGAGCCAGGTTATTCATAGCTGAAGCAGTACTTGATCTTTTCTCTTCAAATTTTTCATGAGCACTGACTAGCTTAGATAACTCCTCCTCAATTGCCCCCTTTGATTTCCTTGACACAGATGTTTTACTAGAGGAACCTCTAGCTTTCTTCTTTGCCACGTCCCTACCCTCTGGACGTACAAGGGTAGGAGTTGATGATTCAACATCCTCACCACTACTCTTTCTTTTAGAGCCACTACTACCGGATGCATTTCCTCCTGTCATATATTTGGGTTGATTACGAACCACCTTCCACTCATCCACCAAATTAAACGTCGTACCTATTTTCTCAAAGTACAACTCTCTTGCCTTGGATATGTAGTTTTCATCGGACCAACCGCTACGCTTCTCCCTACATGCAGTACTGTAGCAGCCAATGAAACTGGATATCTTTCTGTTGATGTCTTTGAAATGACTATGGCACCGAGACAATCCTCTCCTTTCCACTTTTGGCGTTCTCATTCACGTACTATGTAATTTTACCCCAGAAAGTTTTACCCTTTTGGTTGTTCCCCAACTCACTATCATTACTAACGTGAAAATAACCAGTTAGTAAAAGTATGTTGTCTTCGGTGGTCCAAGTTTCATAACTTGATCTCTTTGCCAGTTAGTAAAAGTATGTTGTCTTCGGTGGTCCAAGTTTCATAACTTGATCTCTTTGCTGATTGTTGGTTTGGAGGGAGAAAACTGTGAGGAGTATCCCCACCAACATTTCCCAAAGACATTTGGGTAGAAAATTCTGGGATATCTGTAGATCCGCTACTAAACCGGGGTGTCGCTGGCTCACTCGACTCCGTGTTAGGACAATTCATATGGGAGGGAACATAGCTGCTTCCCGGAACTGGAGGATAACCGTAAGGAAGATAAGGATATTGCATGCCGAAATTTGGTTGCATCATGTACGGCATTTGAAAATTGGGCTGCATCCCCGTATTTTGAGTATTTTCGGGGCGTTGTATATTTGGATGTTGTGGTTGAGGGAGGGTATTTTGAGGTTGGTTAGGAAAGTTGTAGTTGTAGGAAAAATTAGGATAGTTTTGTGAAGGATCCATGAAGAAACTAGCTTCAAATTGTAGAAAGAAGAAGAATAGGGTGTAGAAACTCAGATTTTTTTTTTGTGTTCAAATGACACAAAGTTAATCTCTATTTATAGAGTTTGAAAAATGAAAATTAATGGTATAAAAATTATAAATTAATTCATTGTATTTATCTCAAAAAATATCAATTAAAAATAATGAGGAAAACAAAAATTGTCGCCCAATCAGATTTCGCCACGCGGCAGCTGGCAGGCATGCGCCTGCAGCCTCCATGCACGCGTCCACGTGCCCGTTTCTGATTGGGCGGCTTCTATTTAATTTTTTTTTTTAATAAACCTGCCATGCATTTAATGAGGTGGGGCCCACCAGGTCAGAAATACCCGGGGTGAATTTTTCACCCCTTGGCCTTATCTTTTTGATTCACCTTTTCAAAAAACTCCTGCTGCAACCAAATATCTCTTCAAATAACCCCTGCTGCATATGGTCTTAGTGGCCTTGAAAGCATGTTACACTTTTTGGCTGAAGCAACGCCCAACTGTTGTTGGGTTTCATACTTGGTAACACAATTAAAAACATAAAGTAAGTTGCAAGCAGCAATAACCACCTCAGTACTGCAGTAGTGAAAGGTTTAACAACAACACTGGTTTGCTGCTTCAATGCAATGCTATTGTTCCACTTTCTATCTTTTTCTTCTTTGGATGTTTTGGTTACATTCAAAAGGCAAAACTAAAATGTAAGACTATTAGAAACTTAGATTTCATACAGATAGTATAACAATAATTTTAACTTAGAATTCTATATTTGTTATCTTCATAATATAAATTTCGCATGTCCCCACTTCAGCGAGGGCCGAGGTGTGTATCTCGCACCTTGTGCGCATAGTATGGTAATGAGCTTTTGCGCCCTGCATTTACGCCTTCCATGTTGATAACACTAGTCAAGAGTCAAGACTAACTGAGATTGCTTGAAACCACCACGAAGTTTCAATACATTAAACACCCCTAGTGATTATTATTGTCTCTTAAGGATAGAGTTGTCTGCTAATCAGATGCTTGACAAACGTCACTTTCCTCCAAACCACAGAAAACAAAATTTAAACCCTTAAATAACTTAAATTTCATGCCAAATTATTTCAGTTCACCTTGTTTCTTTGGAGCTTAACATAACCAAATTTTTGTTGAGCCACACATGTGAAAGCCTGAAGTTTCAACCATGTCATTTTAGTTATCATACTTTCAACTCTTATTAACCCTTTCAACAAGCTGAGTTGTCAAATCCCTACTAAGGTTTTAAAAAATTGGATATCGGAGAAATATTGGATGGCCAAAATCCATAACTGATTGCAGATGTTGGGGGGAAATGGGAGATAATGTAGTAAGTATTGGAATTACATATCGGATGATGTGCATATATAATATAATGTCCTAAAATATTAATCTAAACATACTTAATGAAATCTAAGGATACAAAAATGTAAATAACATATGTCTATGATCACTAACAAATTATAGAAACCTACTTAGGAAAAGAAACATATAAGAATGTCGCTAAGAGCCTCATAGGGACAGAATTTTTGCTAAAAAAATTAAAGCAATTTTACAGAACTATATTGCTTTGTGATAAGCTATATGAAAGGATATATCGGCCAACATATAGACTGCTATATCGGCCTTGTCGGGGATATATCACCCAAAAATGCTAAAAAGCGGTAAAGGATATCGAGACCATATTGTCTTACAGCAAGACTTATAAAAGGATATATCAGGTTATATCGGGGATATTAAAAATAATGGATTATTATTCCCTATGCATGTGAAAGATGAAATTAAACTACCCAGAGATAGGTAAGAAACGAGAAGGCAATGACTTTTTGGTTGTCATATGCAAGTGTGATGTAATGTCAAATAAGATTATGCGGAGTTGAAACGAAGGTGCAGATTGGGAGAGAATTTTAAGCTGAAAAAATTATGCAGATTTGCAATATTACAGCTTACAACCTTGCTAAAATCCAACTAAAATACAACTATACAAGGTTTGGAAGCGGTAAAGACCAATTAAAATCACGTAGAGAAATAGAGAAGGCAAAGTATTATTTAATTTAATCCTAATCTCTCTTAAATATAGAATAGGAGAGTTATATAGGCGAAATATGAATATTGGCCCAATTACCCAAATACCTAAATAGTTAAACATATAATATCTTGTAACACTACCCCTCAAGCTAAAGCAGTAACCTCAGTATTGTTCATGATGAACAGTATATGCGTTTTTTTATTTAGATTATTTTGTAGAGGATGTTTGATAAGATCTAGAAAACAATGATGTTGAAGTTATTGTTGATGTTATTCAAGCCGTTGATGCCATCAAAAATGTTGTTATAGCTGCATAGGGGAGCATGAAGGCCATGCAAAAACCCCTCGACAGCCTCGAGATCTAGAAAGATGAGAGAAGTTGCTAAGATCAAGTTGGCTTTGATACCATATAGAGAAATTGAGAAGGCAAAGTTATTATTTAATCTAACCTTAATCTCTCTTAAATAGAGAATATGAGGGTTACATAAGTAGATATGGATATGGACCCATTTACCCAAATATTAATAATAATTGAAAAATCTTTGCTTGGCATAAATGTAACACACATTGTTACATGTCAAAACTGATTACCAAAGTGCTAGAATTGAGCAACATACCTTTTTATATCTTGAAAATTTTTCGGACTACAAGTTGTTAATCGTGCTTAATAACAACTATTTTCTCCTAGATAGAGTGGTAATCACAACTGGCACAAGATTTGTGGTACACTTGGTTCATGATGCAATTATGAAGTACACCACCTTGAACGGTGTGTACAATAAAGAGGACTAAATCAGATTGATATTATACCTCATATATGATTGATTGATTTTCTAGGGCTATTTGAATAACTAAGCATCTTTATTTGTGTGCATGTTGGACAGAGAAGAGACCTACAAATAGACTAGGAAACTATATAATTAAGGTATATGACAATAAAAAAGTTCCCTCTTTTCATAAAGTAGAAAGCAACTACTTGATTAAAAAAGGTTAATGGGCAGTTAAATATGTCAAAGTTTCACTTTTTGGACTTATATACCCTAATGCATTTTTGAACACTTTCATACCTAATGTCATTCTGTTAATTTCACTTAACAGTGTCAACTTTTAGTGCAAGAGAACTTCCATTATTAAGGTCATAATTTTGATGTAGCTTGTGTAAAGCAGTCTCTCATATCCCATGTTTCTAGATTCTTGATGTCACTTTCAGTTGATCAAGATCCATACCTTCACATGGCAAATTATAAGAAACCTTGAATATATGAAGTTTATAATCTTCATATAACCCCTAAACAACATATAATGTCTCCTCGAGTCTGGAATAACCAACACCGTTCAGAAAAGTGCACCATCTGGGAGTAATGTCCCTTTTTGCAATTCTAAACAGTGGTCCAAAAATGCAAACATACAAAGGTTCACAAGCATCGATAATATATGTCGAACTCAAAATCTATAATGCTTACTTTGTCATTTAATTTATCATTTTTAATTTTTCCAACTACATTTGATCAACCAATGAAAATTTATTTGAAAGCGCAGATGCTTCACCATATTTATACGATTGTAAGCAAGTAATAAGCAAAAACACTTTCCTATGAAACATTAAATGGTTCTATATTTCAACACCGAAGTTAATCACCCCTAGTAACCATTATTTCTCCAAAATTGAGGATTAGTTTGTCCTGATCAATTATTGAATCTGAGACTATAAATAATAAAAAATGATGGATTGATAGGCCACAATTAGGTGACCTGCCATCACAGACAGACAACAATGTCTGTATGTACTTAGTAATCACTAAACTATGTCTATATGTACTAACAACATAAATAGACAACAACGAGCACAATTGACTCGCACGTTCCCATGACATTAGTGTGGAAAAAGCAAGAAAAAATGGTTTAAGCATCAGCTTTAAACCTACACTGTATGTCTCACAACTTAAGAGTAAAAAAATAAAGTAACTTGCTACAAAACTGTAGCAAGCAAATGGGGGTAATTTTGAAAGTGGATGAGTTTAAAAATAAATAGGGGTAAGACTTTGGGTATATAGACAAAAAACCGCTTTTCATAAGTGCGTGGACTTAAAAATAAATGGGGATAAAACTTTGGTTTACAGGCAAATAACCCATCTATAGTTTGCGATGTCATGAAATTAGTATGAATAGGCAAATACATAACAATTTAAGAATATAACAACTTAAATGACGCGTAAAACTACTTAATATAAAGGGGCATAAAATTAATTCAACAAAATATTTTGGGTTCTGGAGAGATTTTAGAACAAAGCCGATTAAAGTAAATGGGGTTAAAACTTTGGGTTCATAGAAAAATAAACCTTTTGGAGAAGTA